AAAAAAGCGGTCCAAAATCCTTGAGAAATTGTAGAGTCAAAAGGGAAAGGTGAAAGAAGCTATGAGCATGGGTTAAGATATATGCTTCTGGGGAGTGATGAGGGAAAACACATCATTCTTCTAATGTTTACCTGCTGAAGTTTTGCATGAATCTTGCAACCAGCAACAAATGGAAAATATATTATCCTTCTTCGTTTTAGAGATGTAAATTCTATCATCTCTAACTTCAACTAAATTAGTTGTTTCAGAATTAGACTGGCATGTAGCCTGGCTTCTTAGTGGGAAATCTCCTTGCACTACAAACACAGAACCCTTTTTTTCCAGAGAGGAATCACTGGCTTTGTCATTATCACTTAATGAAATGACTGTGTCCTTGTTTTCCAAATGAAATGCCTAAGGATGAATGACCCCAATTGAAGCTATAGAGCCTGGAGAGTGTAGTACAGTTTGAAATTCATCGAGCACAATTCTGGCATTCTGAGAATTTGAAACAGTTACAGAAACGATAAAACTTAGTAGGAAAAATGAAAAAAATGAACACGAATTCAGTTAAAAGTTAAAACACAAGCTATCTTAAGATAAAAATATAACAAAAATATGTTGCATTGCAATAGCAAGAACAACTTTCCCTTTGAAAACAGGGATCATAAACCAGAAACTATTATTTTTTGAGAGAAACGACAAAAAATGAGTAAAATGTCATCAAAAGCACCACACACCCCCGTCTTATTATCATACAATAAGTTTTCCAGACATGATAAAGAAGAAGAAAAGGATGGAGGGAATGGGATTGGGAATCAATTGTACACCTAAAAAATACAAGGCATACTTACTACGAAAAGTGGACAGTCAGGCGTCAGTGTTTCATATTCTCCTCCTTCACCACATACATTTATCCCATACAATCTACCAAAAGAATGTCAAAATGAGCAATGTTGGTGTCAAGTTGTGCTTAAACAATGGAAAAATACTACAAGGAAGAAGAAAAAATAAAAACATACTCTTTCAACTTATGCAGATGGGCGGTCAGGAACGCTATTTCTTTGCCCAAGTGCTTTGCAGGGTCTAAACCGATGGCTGCTACCTATGGCATTAGAGGACAATTACCCTTCACATTTGAGTTCACAATTCATCAATTTAAATTTGGAAAGATGTTTCACTCATACCTTTACAGTGATAGCCAAAATCCCATTTGTTATCAGGTTGGACAGGAAACAAAATTATCCCACAAGAAGGGCATTTCAGATCTTGATAGACTACCACTCATATTGAGAAAATACAATTTACCATTTCTTGAAGGAGCAACGACTGATCTTGTTTCCACAAATACGCTAGAGAAACAAGTCCTAACCTTGAACAACACTTTCCAATCGTAACCTCTGGTAGTCCGACGCAATAAGATGTTTCACTTCATACCTTTACAGTGATAGCCAAAATCCCATTTGTTATCAGGTTGGACAGGAAACAAAATTATCCCACAAGAAGGGCATTTCAGATCTTGATAGACTACCACTCATATTGAGAAAATACAATTTACCATTTCTTGAAGGAGCAACGACTGATCTTGTTTCCACAAATATGCTAGAGAAACAAGCCCTAACCTTGAACAAACACTTTCCACTCGTAAACTCTGTTAGTCCGACGCAATAGCACCAGAAGATACTGCCGTAATAGAGGGAATCTGTCTTTTGACTTCATTCAACAAAATGAACATATCTTCGACTTCATCACCTGGCGTTGTCTTGTAGTTAAGTGTTTGATGCCTGTAATCCACAAAACAGCTAGATAATATTCACTCTTCTGGTGAATTCATCACCCCACCCCTCTCTATACCTCAAAATGTAACATACTGTTAATATCCTCAAATTTTTACATCCTGTTTTAGTTTGGAAATTTTTTATCAACATAGGATAACGATAGAATTTTCAAAAAATAGTTTCTGTGACTTTACCAAGAGCTCCTAAGCTTCATGCAGTTACAATATGGTCATGGATAACAACATGCCTCGGAGACATTATATACAAGCCTAATTCTTGACTGGAATTGCCCAAAATAAGACAAATGCTATTCCCAATAGCATCCTCTAAATGAGAGCTTGCCTTGTGGATCCTTGTATCCGCCTTCTGAATAATGGCAATCCCATGCATTCTGCATAGCTGACAAGTATTTGGTGCCCGACCTGCGAAAAACAAAATAAATAAAGTATTCCAACGATACACTAGAATATATAACACAACTTGCAGAAAAAGAAAGCAAACCAAACACTTGCACGGAGTTAAAAACAAGAAACCATCCACTGAGACAAAAATTAACCTTAAGCCTTGAAACTGTTACGTAAAGACAAAAAATACAAATATATATATATACAGATACTTACAGTTTGATACATGAAGCTATCTAACTCATCAACCGAATCATCAGCAGGCATCAAATTTGCCAATGCAACAATCTATCAGAATTAGCAATTCAACAAATGAAAACCCATCGAAAAAAAAAGATCAGTAGAAAAAAGACGAGAGGGGGGGCCTCATGGCCATATTGCCATATTGCCATATTGGATGGACTTCATCATGGCATAACTACTATCCTTGCCGCCGCTTACCACCTTCATCTTCGTTTTCTCTGTTAGGGCTAAAGAGGCGGGTTGATGGTTAGTCTTGTTTCTTTGACTTCTGTTCTTCTTGACAAACTCTTAGCCATTTGGAGACGCTACTCACTCATCCTTTCGGGGTATGTCTTTAGCTCATCTCACCTGTCTTCGAAACCAGTATTTCCTTTTTCCAAGGAAACAAAAAAAAAAGAATCAAATATTCCCTCGTTAAGTATTTGGTGCCCGACCTGCGAAAAACCAATAAATAAAGTGTTCCAACGATACACTAGAATACATAACACAACTTGCAGAAAAAGAAAGCGAACCAAACACTTGCACGGAATTAAAAACAAGAAACCATCCACTGAGACAAAAATTAAGCCTTGAAACTGTTATGTAAAGACAAAAAATACAAATATATATACATATACTTACAGTTTGATACATGAAGCTATCTAACTCATCAACCGAATCATCAGCAGGCATCAAATTTGCCAATGCAACAATCTATCAAAATTCGCAATTCAAAAAATAAAAACCCATCGAAAAAAAAAAAGATAAGTAGAAAAAAGACATAAATAATAAAAGAAGGTGGTATGTTTGGCGGGAAAGAACGTGTTGGCTTCTCAGGAAACAAACAAGAGACTTCATCATGGCATAACAACTATCCTTGCCGCCGCTTACTAGAGCTACCACCTTCATCTTCGTTTTCACTGATAGGGCTAAAGAGGAGGGTTGATGGTTAGTCTTGTTTCTTTGACTTCTGCTCTTCTTGACAAACTCTTAGCCATCTGGAGACGCTTCTCACTCATCCTTTCGGGGTATGTCTTTAGCTCATCTCATCTGTCTTCGAAACCAGTATTTCCTTTTTCCAAGGAAAAAAAAAAACAAATATTCCCTCGATCACATTATTATTTATATTATAAAAATAAATAAATGCCATTAAGTATCTCCTAACGTCATCTCAACTTTCAAGGGGATCAGTTTCCTTCTAATGAAACCCAGATTATTATTATTATTATTATAAATAGATGTATTTAGAGTGCGATTTAATTTCAGAGCACAAAAAAACGTGAAGATATTCTGGACTATTTTAAAAATAAAATAAAAAGGAAGAAGCTTTTCTCAAAAAATAAAAACAAATTGAACTAAAACCTAAAGCATATGGTATTTGGGAAAATAGATTTGAATTCCATTTTTTCCCATAAAGAAAAAGGACAATTACTTTTGCTTACTTTATTTTTTTCATCTAATTATATTCATCACCTCTGGATCTGTTCAAAATATACCGAATGCACTCTGCTTTCTCGCATAAAAGTAAAATCTATATTTATGTGGAAAGACTGAATACAACTCGTGGCATATTTAATAATTTCTACCCAAAAGAAATCCGAAAAGAAGACTTAATAGTGACCAAAGAGTACTAGTAAAAAATAATTGTTATCATGTAGTAAAAAATAATTGTTATCATGTAATAGACTTAATAGTGACCAAAGAGTACTAGTAAAAAATAATTGTTATCATGTAATAAAAAAATCTAAAGAAAATAGGGTGATGAGGACATCAAAATTCTCGTTTTCCAAACAATATCTCATAAATTTATTCTTTTAAAAAATAAACTTATTTTACTTATATTAAAAACAATATTTTAAGAAAATATATTATTTTAATATATTCAAAACACTTTAATAAACAGAAATTATTTCATCCCTAAACAACTTAGTTTTTTTTTATGTTTTTAAATCATTTTAATATATGATATTAAAAATATTTATTTAAAAAAATATTGATATTAACTTTTTTTAAAAATATATTACTTTCAAATATTTTAAAAATCAACTACTACTTTACCCTGAACATCCAAGTTTTCTATTATTTTTAAAATATATATTGATATTAAAAATAATTTTTTTAAATAATAGTGATATTTATTTTTTAAAAAATGACTTTAATACATTTCTAAAAATCAACTAATGCTACACCCCTAGACACCATATTCTTCCATTACTAGATTTTCTATTAACCTTTTAAAACCAGTTGAGGTATTGATAACATATATAATTTTCCTCAATTACTTTATTTTGAATCATAATCCACCAATTAAAAGGTGGTATCTCCAATATCCAATGACTACAACGCAGATAAAATAAAAACACATCATTCAACCATTTTACGAATCTGATTGACAGCATTTGGTGGTTCTAAGTTCCCTACCCTTCACATCTCAGCCATTACATTTTCTTGAGGGCTAAAGACACAGCCCCATGAACGAGCTAACCAAACGAGAACGAGAGGCCTGACTAAGGAGGATCCAGAGGATGGATGGATGGATAGCCAGTCTAGAGGAAACATGAACACCACGCTAAATTGTGCACACCAAAGTGGAAAATGAGGAGGAAAACTAAGAATATATATGGTAACCGATAAATTGACAATCCAAAAATTGATAAACATAGGAAGCCTACCCCAGCACCACCCAATTGATTACCGTACAGGAAATACATCAAAAATAACCAACCACTAAATTAGAAGACCTCGACAGGGATTATATCTTACAGATTGATAAAATAAATAAAAAATGCAGTGAATGTTCTGAGCTACTTCAACCTGGACTTGATTAATCAACTCTTAGAAACTACCTCTCCTTTACAGGAAGGAAGTTCAGCTTCATGAACCACGGCTCTAGAGTAATTCTCCTTGTTGTTTGTCGAATTATGCACGCAAAAGCTTGCATATGTCCCCCCTGCTGGCATTTGAAACAAAAATGCATTCCATCCCGCCAAACCTGGACTCTCTTTAAAAAGGCTACAGAATGATCCTTTGAGTTTACTGTTTTCCTGTCTCACGGTCTCTGTAGAAGAAGAATCTAGAGCTTTTTATGCAAGCACCTTCAGCAAAAGCAAGCTCGTGAATATAAAGCAGAAATTCCAGCACAAGACCGGGCATTGAAAAATGAGAAAAAAGAAGAATGCTTCATTTGTGAAGGTTCTTGCTAAATCTCCATGCCCCAACATGCATGTGTAGATGATGTAGTAATTGTATGGAAGGGGAAAGCAAGCATTATTCTCACATGTAGGCTTGAGAGTCATTTGAAGAATGAAGTATGGATGAAGTTTGCGAGCGCTGCACAGAATATGCAAAGCTGTAGGGAGGATATCTGACCCTCTTATATAGCAGAAATTACACAATCTAGTAGAACGATCAAATGGTCAGAAAATCTAGCCAAGGGACCATGCTCAGCATAAAGCTCACAATGCATAAGCATTGCTGGACTCCAATGCTAAAACTTCATCATGTAACAATTTCTAACTTGTGCAACTAAGAAAAGGAGCACAGGGGCTAGACAAGAATAAAAAGACAACACAACAAATATAATCAGCATAACAAAAACTGAACTGGTTTACCTAATTGAACTCAGAATGGAGCCTCAAGTGATTCATCCCAAACTTCTGCACTACCATTAGAAGCATCTTCAACATCTTCTTCCATTGAAAGCCTAATATATTCTCTATGTGCAAAACGATCCCACTCTGTTAATGTTGGATTCTCACGCTCCTGGTTTGTTGCAATACCATCAAAGCTATTTTATTAATGCTAAGTTCAAATTTTATATTGAGCATAGAGCATAAAATAGGTGTTAATTACCTGCCGAATGAGAAATGGATCGCGGGTTTCAAAGGCCATAAATTTATTGAGGTTGAAAAGGATGTTGAAAACACTCCCTGAAAGTTTACAACCTTTTAGGTCACGGAGGGTGATATAGCCATCATCCTGCAGCAAGAAAACTTGGATAGTAAGCAACCAAAACATTTCCAGATGGTGTGATGGGAACAACAAGGAAATAAATTGGCACTTGATGACCAATCATGTTTGCTTATGCTATCCCATTGGGACTTAATTAAATTTGATTAGAGACAGTAATGAGGCGGGAACAAAAATTTAGAACATCATTAGATGTAGTTTTCCTTGAACATGCTTCCATGGGCACTTTAAATACAGAGGAACTACAATTAAAATTACAGAAGAGCATAGGGCAAACCTCTGGTCCAATCATGTCAATTATCTGGCATAATATATCTTCAAAAAGCACAGGCTCTTGAGCCATGCATTCCATCCGATGCAACTGCTCCTCATAAAAGAATTGCATCTCATTCCGTGACAGAATTCCATTTCCATCCAAATCTATGCACTTGAACCTAAGAAGAAATCGAACATCACGACTCATGAGCAGTTGATCAATGAACCAAAACACTCCTTTGAAAAAACATATGTTTCCAAGTACATACAGGGTAACACCCAAGAGAAGCAATAAAGAACCATTATAAGATAGATTCTACAACAATAAAATAAGAATGATTTTTTTTTTATCTGCTTTACTAGTATATCTGACAAAGAATAATGGCCGGTGACGAACTTGGAAACTTCTCTAACACTCTGTCCCTGCCTATCACTCTCCCTCCTTGATCATGTCTTACAAGTTCAGCCAATTCAGAAAAACTTTCCCGAATGGTTTCAATTTTTCTTTTCTTTTCAGCTAGAACAAAAGCACACAGCCCAGGTAGCATTTTGAACGAGGAATATATCAGAAAACTTAATAATGCTTTATTTTTCATAATTAAACAGCTTTAATGGTGAAGTAAACATCTAAATGAAACGAATATAAAACGAATATTCCATAACATGCAAATACCGGTATTTCATCAGTGCATGGTTTTAGTTCAAATCCTTGACTCTATAGAATAAGACATGTAAACATACCAATACTCAAGACTAGGCTCAGATGACTTGTCTTCCTCTGAAAGTATGAAATACACAAAATCTTCATATCCCATCTTTCCTTCAACCTTACTAGTAAATTTTCTTGCAACCTGTAAGGCATTTAAATCATAAAAGTTCAGGAGCACAGAAAATTTATTGCCGTAAAATTGTAGGGTATTTTGACCCAAAAGACGAGCATCGTTTGAGTGCCACCAACCTGGGAAAATATTCTATCAACAATCCGGTAGGTAAGTGCATGATTCCCATATCTAATAAGGTTCTCTTTGTCAATAAGAAAATCATGATCTGTGTCCAGCTCCCAAAACTTGCAGTATATCACATAAAAGTGCTCATAAGAAAAGTACCTGCATATGGAATCATAAGCAAAAGAATTAAATTGTTAAGAATTTGATGCAAAATGTTAAAAGCATAAGTTCCAATCCAATTCTGTAAAACTAATTATGATTGTCTGAAATATTAATGTTTCATATATTTACAAGTTTATGATTGCCACAAGGTCCCATTCTGGAAAATCTAGGTCGCATTTGCACAGCTGCACTTACCTCAAAACTTTATTTATGTCCTCTTCTTCATCTGCATGTTGCATTGCATCAATTAAATTCCCACGTTTCAGCTCCCTGAGGGTAAGATGACCATTCCCGGATCTATTTACATAGTAAAAAATTCTGTATATAACAGTTTCAGCTGCCAATTGCAAAACAAAAATCATGTTAAAAATTACACGGCATTAAATGCACAGCAACAATAAGAATGCAAGATCCACACTACACAAAACTTAAACCCTAGAGAGGCCATTTCAGGCTGTCAACCTCTTGCTGTACTCCATTTTCAATCAATGTAAACAACCAATCAAACAGGCAACAGAAATTAAACATCTACACACTTAATTAACCAGAAAATATAATTCAATTGATTGACCCACCAATTACATGCAACTCTCAAATGAACACCAAGCCACTCAACTAAAAAAAAACATCTGGCAGAGTTTACACATCACAACAACTGAAATAAGGACCAAAGAAAGAGTTTCTTTGCCATTCCTTTATTCCTAAGGTCATGCTCTAAACACAGAAACCAGTTGGAAGTATATAAGAAAAATAAGGAACAGAACTTTATATCTTACCCCTATAACATAGCTTTTAATCCCTGTGTTATACCCAAATCCATAAGGAGCTAGGCAGAGATCTCCATGACTAAGTACATCATAGTAGCTAATCCAACACACGATAATTTCACCACTAAAAAGCACATGCATCATACAGCAACTTTACTGGTGATTTTACTTTCAAACATGTTTTTTTTTTCACAACAAGAGTTGGAAAATACATGTCACTACATTTCAGGGGCTTTAGAGCCCATAAATATAGAGCTGTGCCATCTAGTTCCTAATTAAATTTTATTGCAGCTCATCATTTAAATGAACCATCTATAAATTGGCAATTATGTAAACACCTTGCTCCAGGGAAAAAAAATAGCAGCATTCTTGAAACTAGGAGGGGTAACTTTTGAAACACTTGGCACTAGGTCCATGCCAGCAGCTTGGTGATAGATCCATTTGGTAAAATAAATCCAAAAATGCGCCATTTCCAAGGGACAATCAAAAATGCACCATTTCCAAGGGACAATCACACACCATAAATAGAATCTCTTCAAAACACCGCCAAGTTCAAGTTTAGATGCTCTGCTATTGCTTTTTAACCAGAGAACAGCACCTCATTCATTTTAGGGATAACAAAATTTTAAGCACTTCCAATCAGAATCAGTTATGCTTAGAAATATTCAAAGATAATGCAGAAAATTTCAATACCATCAATAACAAGTGCTAAGTTTTGCAATATTCAAGTACGCATTATAGCGGCCAAAGCTTCTCACAAGGTAAAGAAATCAGAAATATGAGTAATTGCTCTGAATTGGAAACAATTGAAAGTAGATCATAGGCTTTAACGTACCATATCTTTCCTGAAACTCAGGTGTGCTCTGTAAAAACTCCAATCCAGGATGAGTTGCCAGTAAGTCTCGAAGCACAGGTTTAAAGTTTTCCTGTTATCAATCAAAAATCATTTTAAACATGAAGTGAAACAATAATCACAATAATGAATCACCCCTGAAACAGCAGCAATCTAATGATAACAAGATCCAGAAATGATTATCCTAAAACACACAAACTCCTCTACCTGGGTGAGGTATTTGAGATCTGGTTGTTTCAAAATTGTGAAAATTTGGGTAGCTATATCCAATGTCAACATGTTGCCATTTATCCAATAATTGAGAAAAGCATCCCTGCACATAGATTATGAGGAAGTTAAGTGACACGATAATGAAAACACTGTTTTGGGAGGCAGCAACTCCTAAAATGAAACACTATGCACCCTAGAATTACACAATCAAACCTGAAATGTTGATTTATTCCTTAAATGTTGCATGGTTTTTTTTTAAAAAAAAAAAAGCTACAATGCAACATGAAAGATCCCTTCTGTCAAGGTAAAGCGTGTGTGCTAATTTCATATCCATAAAGGCCTTGTTGTGGCCTAAGGGTTTAAATTTGACTTTTGGTGAATATTTAAGCAATGGACAAAAAGGAAATATTCAAACGAAGCCTTAATTTGGTGGGATAAAGGAAAAGATTATTCGTTGTAGGGAGTTGATATAGGTTTTCCATGCTGTTTTCAGTTCCAGCAGAGGCTGCACCATGTTTAGTTGGTCAGGGGAAATTCTGTAAGACTACTTGTTTTATTTTCTGATTCAGATGCTATATTTAGTCCTTAAATAAGTAAAGACTTTTTCTGTTTCTTTTATAGGAATCCTTATATTTTCCTACATAGGAATCCAAGCCCCGTTGGGATTACTAATAATTTAAGCCTAAATGCATATATACATATATGCTCGAAGTCTTTCAATTGGAGTATGATGAATTTATTATGAAAAAAGAAGCTTTTTTACTTATTAAATTGAATGTCATGCTTTCATTGAGTGGTTCCTTAAACCCTAGGTCTGAGGCTATGATTCTTATTCAAAGAGTGAGTCTTTGAATCTACTAGTGTGAGGCTACTGTTTTCCTCTTAAGATTCCAGATCTGTATTTCTGTTTCTAATGCCCTTAAACACCATAATCTAAGCCCTACCCCTAAGCACAACCAACTACAAATGTCCCCTGGACATGTCCAGCATCACGCCTATACAAAGAAAGGAAAAGGAATTGCTTTTTGAAAGTTCTATGAAACAATTTGGATATCTGTCAAAGAACACTCTAAAGAGCCCCCTCAACAGTATACCATAAAGAATCCAAAAAGATCATCACATCCCAGGACATTTGCCTGGAGAGAAACAAACCTTGAATTCTCGCACTCTATTCCGAACATCATAAAACCAGCAACTGTCCTCAAAATCTTATAACCCCTCCTCCTAAAATCCACAAAATACACCAAGAAGAAGTCCAACCTACTTGGCAAAATCCGTTGTTTGCCACAATAACAAAAGGCATGTTTCACATCTCCCAGAACTCTACTCCATCCCCAAACACCATAAAAGATAGCACCTCTCCTCAAAATCTTATAATCCTTCCCCCTCCTTAAATCCACAAAATGCATAAAGAACAAATCCACCCTTCTTGGAAAAATCCATCATATGCCACAAACAGCAAAAAAACATGGTGCACCTATCCCAAACCACCAATGTAATAAAAGACATCATGAGTTGAGGTAAATATTAAACTTTAAGAAATTACATTAACCAAATATTAAAAAAAAAAACCCTTTTGATCAAATATTTCAACTGTTTACCAAGACAAATAACTGAAAGACTTGAAAAATTCACGGTCATGACTTCAACTGTAACTGCAATTTAAAAATGATATTCGTTTTATAAAGATCAATCTACCTTAAATAACCAGTTTCTAAAAGTCAAAGACAAATGCACTTGTGTGTGTGTGTGTGTGTGTGTCAGCTGCAAGATGAATTTTCTGTGAATAAAAAAGCTAAAGAAATTCACATACTAAAAATCCTAATAACAAGTTACTATCAGTCCAATTGGCAGTGTAAAAACTGTATGGCAATCCTTGTTGACCAGCATATAACATGTTCAATTGGTTCATCAATACAATGGAGGGGGGATGGAGGATTTTGAAGGGAGGAGCAATTGACAATGTACTACAGAATTCCTACTGGTAAAACAATAACCAGTTCTTGCATAGTGACATGGTAAATCAGGGGGACAAGAGGGACATGAGAGCTTGGCCATAGTATGCCAAAATCAAGGAATTTAATTCTAGGGCTACTATCAAACTAGAAAAGAGAATGGTTGGAGAAGCAGGGAACTTGTTTTCTATACCAGCCTCTAATCCTTAAGATAGGGAAGTATGATAGAGACACAAAAGTCTTTCTCCGTGTTTCTACCATAAACTCTCAAACACCACTCAAAATGAAAAATTTTGTCCCCATCAATCTATTAGTCCAAACTTCCATGACGAGTCAACTGTCTTTTAAGTCTTAAAATTATTGTTGCAAAGTCAATGACAAAAGTTACAGAAGGAGATCACGAGAGAGAAATTTCCAACACAGTAGGAATCATCAGTTATAGAAGAGAAATGCCAGTATAATGACAACTAAATCAGGTTAGGACTGTAAAGTATTTACAATGTGAAACATGATTATCATTTTCATAGGTTCAATAAACTGTGGTTAAAATACAAATTATCCCTGAAACCACTTTCTCTCACTCTCTAAGACAAAAGGCACGTACCTTGTCACAAAATTGGTGCTATTAACATCAATCCTTCTAAATAGAGCTGTTGAAAAGAATGACGGCAGCTTGCATACTTCCTTAGTGATTGATTTGAACTCTAAAGATACAAAAGAAACAACAAAATGATTAGTTCATGAAATATGGCAGATGTAGATGTTTTATTATTGATCTCACCATGTATCTGCAGTCCATCCGAATGACCATAGAAGAAGTGATTGATCCGAATCAAGCATTGTTCTTTTAGCTCATTTGGCACTGGACGACCATTTTGAAAATAAAACTACAGCATCACAAGTATACGTATTAAAACACATCATCAATGTCACCCAACAAAATATTGGTAGACAAAACATGAAGAAAGTGGTAGAAGTGAAAAATAGTGGACTGGAGAACTTTGTTGATTCAATTATGCTTCAGTCTCATTCCATGATTCATTATCTCTTTTCAGCATAAATGAGGAATTCTTCCTTCTAGATACTATTCCATATTGGGCCAACGCAACAGAAAATTAATCTTTTAAAAAAATGTTTGGGGTTCATCAAACCTGTGGTATCAACTCCTTTATTGGCTCACTGACTACTTTTAGAGGAGAACCTAAATTTGAAGGGCCAACCCTTTGTTTTGTCACACGAGGAGAACCGGTTGAACTTCGGGGGGAAAGAGGTGGTGTACTCCCCCCAGGAAACATGGACGGTAAGGAACTGCCAGTGGCAGCATTTGCACTAGATGAATTTCCAGAGATATTCAAGGGAGAACCTGTCTTGGCATCATTAACCAGTGATGTCACCTAGACAGATAAGAGGGGAGAAAAAAGAAATAAGCAATCATATTATATAAAATCTTTTATTTGAAGAAACATCATCTATAGTAACTTGCGAAAGAACTGATCCACAACAAAAAAATGAGGGCAAGAATTTTAAAACTTCTCTTCTATAACCAATAAAAGAACAAGTCTTTGTAAAATAACTCATTAATTGTGTTTCCTTCAAGAACAGAAAGTACACAAGATGTTATGATGACATTGTCATCCACAACAGGGAACAGTGAATAAAAAGCAATAATTGCAATAAAATGTGTTGTGAATAATGAACTACGTCTCCCAACCTAAACTTGAACTAGAAGAGGAGGGGAGTTAAAAGGAAATCGAAAAGAAACTGAATTATTTCCCCTTTCAAATATACATATCAAACTCTTACTTTTATTAGACTTGTATTTCACTTTTCTATTAGACTTTTGCCCTGATTCCAAAACCCATATAGGTATCCAGCATTGTTGTGGAGCTGCTTTTCTCAAACTTAGAGAGAAAAATAAATATCCTCTTTAAAGACATATCAACATAAGACATACAAACATTCATATGAGCATAATCACACAAGTAAGCAATTGTATCAGCATTGAGGTATTTATGAACATGCACCAGAACTTTATGCATCATTCGACCTAGCACCGCAGTACTTTGAAGCATTAGCATGTTCATTAAAAACTTTTAAAATTTGAGAAGTTATTTGGATATCAAAAACCAAAGTTTCTTTTGCAACGCAAAAGGAAATCATCAACTAAGTCTGTAAATGCTCATAGATGCTGGGGATCACTAATACAAGCTGTTTAAATGGGAAAGTGCAACGATCATCCATTCATATAGTCCCTTCTAGATTAAAGAGTAAATTTTATAGAACCACGGTTGAGTTTGCAATGTTCTACTGTAAAGGAGTGTTACACAGTGATGAAGTTGCAAGTTCATAAAAAGAGGACATTGACATTGAGATTTTAAGATGATGTGTTAAATCACATCAAAGGAAAGGATAGTAAACATGGAAGGGGCTAAGCATGGAGCTAGATGCATTCCAGCTCTCCTCTCTCCCCCTCGAACTTACTATATTCCAGCTCCGACCCTGGAGGTGGCACCAAATGATTTTAAAGAACACATGGATGCTCAAATTAGAAAGAGCGACTAGTTGAAACAGTTGGAATAAGCAAGGAGAGAACCGGATCAAAAAATTATATTTCAATACAAATAAATGAAGCTAAATGCTCTCCAAATTTCACCTCAATGGCTCGATTAGTTTGAGAGTTAATACCACAGTTGTTGATAGGAAGAGAAGTAGTTTCTTCCTCGTAAAACTGTGACTTCGCCAACATTACTAGTTAATTGTAGTTTCACATCTCAAAATCCCTTGGCAGTCCGAAAAATCAAACGGAAAGCTTGATACGGAACATGTGATGAGTTTCAAAATTCTTATCAACATCCAGCACTCACTCACGAGGAAAGACATCTTTAACGTAAAGGTGGGCAGAATATTTCCAAACATGAGCAACAACACTACCTTCCTATTGAAGCCCAAATTGGAACCTCGTCCCAGAGAAGTCATTAAATACCAAATCAAATGAATCTATATTTCCATCTCCAGTTGATTTCAACATTAAAATCAATAATCAGATAGCAATCACAAAAAAAAAAATCGAAATGAACACGAAACAGAAAAAAAATTTGAAAACGCACCAGCTTATTGGCATCAGGAAGGGAGAGCCACTGATCGAAGAGTTTTTGGGCAAAGTCAGGGTAAGATTTGAAATCTAAAGCAGCAACCTCTGGTAGCTGAAGCAACTCCGCATCTAACATCGCAACATCGCTCGTCGTCGTTTCCATAGTTACTAAAATCAAACCAAAACATAGATCGACAAACCCTAGATTCCAATCATTATTAACCAACCTTCAATTACTAATCCAATTTATCAATTTTCGATTCGGCCAATTTACTAAGAAACACTAGATCTTTACAAAAACACGAGATTTTCTTCTTGTTTTTACGAGTGAATAGAATGGATGCGATTCAAAGGGCTGAGAATTTTGCAGCGCGAGAGATTTTTTGGGGGGCAAAGGAGAGAAAGAGAGAGTTGATTATTTTTTAAAAAATATATTACTTAGTATTTAACTGGTTGCCATTAAGGAATAACGACACGTGTCAGTTTTGTCACGTGATTGAAAACTCGTGCTGCTTGGCTGATTTATTTCTTCAATTTTAGGTAATTTTCTAAATAAAAAAAAGTTTAGGTAATTAGAAATTACTCGATCTAGTCCTCAAGCTAAATAATATTTTGTCAATTAGATTCTTAAAGGTTCCAATATTCTAATTGAGTACATCTATCCATATCCATCATTGATCTTGCCTGGTGAGCACTGCTTTTAGCAAATAAAAATAGTCTTAATAGAGTTTGACTTTTATTTATTTAAAAATTCGAATGATTTTGGGGACAACGACTTAATTAATATTCACCCCATGATCTAAATATTAAATTGAGATTCTTTCCTTTTTCTTGTAATTTTTTCTTCAATCTATATTTTTTTTCCTCATCCAGGTATTTTTATATCTATTTAAAAAATAAAACTAGTTCCGTTCAAGATTTATAACTATCTCTCACAATAAATATATTTTTTAATAATCAAACTTGTATTTTTATTCTTGTAAATATATCACAGGATCTTAATATTAGACCAATATTTTATTAATTTCAATATATACACACACACGTAATAGAGTTTGACTTTTATTTATTCAAAATTTTAAATGATTTTGGAGAAAACAACTTAATTAATTCACTCCATGATCTAAAGATTAAAATGAGATTCTTTCCTTTTCTTGTAATTCTTTTTTTCAATATAGATATATATTGAAAAACATGGAAACAACGAGGGTGAGTTATTGAGCTAGTGGCATTTGGATTCAAATTGAACATGTAACTTTTTCATGAAGTAGGTTTGTGATGGTTCAAAATTCTTAATTGATTCTATTTCTCCGCATCCATTGATGGATTTCATCTAAAGTGTGTGTTCTTTATGTTGTAAAGCCAAACTCTTTTTAAGGGATTGGGTTTTTTTTTTTTTGAAAAACTAAGATGATTTTGAACAAAAAGATTCAATTGAGATTTCTTACATCTTTAAGAAATTGTTCGTGAGAAATTTTTTGATAACTTAAATGTGATTTACCTAGAGATGTGAAAATTAGGTTGAGGTTTGGTGACATTTTTATTTTTTAAAAAAAAAACAATTTTTATTTAAAGGACAGTGTAAATGATATAAAGAATATTAAAAGAGTTCGCAACTCGTTGGAAAAACGTTGTAGCTCCAAAATTAGTAAATATTATTTGTTTGAATAGTGTGATGGTGGTCTTGCCTTTTTTATGAAGGTAATATTTGAGATTGTAGGAGTATTTTGTTTAAAATATTTTTTGTTTGAATTAATTAGGTACAAATAAATTTTTTTCAATTCTAAATTCACACTAAAATGATCAAAGAACCCTTGTAAAGAAAAGAACCCTTGTAAAGAAAAAAAATTGAACTGGCATTAAGGGATATTGTTGTATTTTCACAATGTATTTTTTGTTATTATAAGATAAACTATGGAGCAATTTGATATTCAACTACATGTAAAAAATAATAAGAAATTAAAAGGAACATTTAAATAACTAAAACACTCTTAAAAATGAAAGAAATTAAAACTGGAGTTAAGGGGTTGTTTTGTTTTATTTTCATAATAATTTTTTCCTTATTATGAAGTCAAACTTAGAATCAAGCACCTAACACATTTCCCAACACATATGGTGTTTTTTAACATAAAAAAAATCTCCCGATCATGTAATTAAAAGCATAAGCTTGGCTTAGTGATGGAAGGGGCTTGTCTCCTACACATTTCCCAACACATATGGTGTTTTTCAACATAAAAAAAATCCCCCGGTCATGTAATTAGAAGCACAAGCTTGGTTTAGTGATGGAAGGGGCTTGTTTCCTTTCACTGCACCTGGGTTCGAGCCCTAGCGTGCACGTCTGTCACCCCCGCGGTGCCTTACATGCCTACTGGGTTTGCAGGGTATTCAGTGGTCCGTGGGGATTAGTCGTGGTGCGCGCAAGCTAACTCGGACACCCCACGTAAATCAAAAAAAAAAAAAAGCACAATAATGCCCTTTACATGTAGCTTTAGTGGTATGGTTTATCATGATAGATATTGTTTTTTCTTATTTTTTTTTTTAAAAAAAATACTTAACTTTAAAAAATTACAACTTGACTCTCCTGGTTATTAATTTTAAACTTTAATTTTTATTTTATTTATTTATAATTTTTATTCTAGGTCATTTTATAAAAATATTTATTTTTAATTTTATCATTCTTTCTAATTTGCTATATATTATTTTTTTTTGCCAATTTTATCTTTATTCTTTTGATTTCTAGTATATTTTGTTTTAACTCTTTTATAAAAAATTTATGAGTTTTTAATTTCATTCTTCAATCTAAATTGATAGTAATATTTTTTAATTTAATCTTTATTATTTTTATTTTATTAATGCTTTTATAAATTTATTTTTTTAATGTCACCCTTCATTTATTTTTTTTATATCAGTTTTGATCATCATTTTTTTAATTGCTATTTTTTAAATTATTTTATATAATTAAAAAAATATTTTATTATTCAATATTTAATTAATTAAAAATTAAATTTCATAATTTTTCTAGATAAAGTACTATAAATCTAATAATCCAGGCTATAAATTCAAAAAATTAACATGTTTTTTTAAATATTTTATAATTCTTGTTATTTTTTATTAAATTATTTTAATTTTATCATCTGAGGTATATATTTAACTTGATAAGAGGATTTGTTTGTTTTTGCCTTCCAACCTTAGAAAATATTTGTTTTCTAATGTTTTCTGAATCATGTCTTTTTAAACTTGATTCATTTATTATCATTTTGTGTACTATTTGTTGGTGCACCAAAGTTAATGAATATAAATCTTGTTCATTTGCTTCGACAGCTGTTCTCTGACAAATATTGTCGCGACAAACATTATCTCAACAAGAGGATCATGTAATAATGTCTTGTGACACGTGGTAAAAAAAAAATTAATGGTTTAAATTTTAAAATATGAAAAAAAAATTATTTTATTTAAACACCTTGAATTTGGTATAAGTACTAGCTAAAAATAATATATATATATATATCTGTGTGCCTGTGTGAGACAGATGTTTTCGAAGTGAGATATGCATTGAGAAGTCCTAGCCCAGGAAAAAAGGTTGGACATGACAGGCAAGCTTTTTGACAAATTCAGCAATTCAATTTTCGTATGGAGCTAAGATGTTAACAAAATATTTTACTGAATTGACTAGTTTGTATCATCTGAGGCCAGTAACATATCCACAACAGGTCTGGAATTTATTGTTAATGATTTTTTTTATTTTTATAGTTATTTTCATATTCATTTCCTAGTTAGTTTACAGCTTTTAATTTATTTTTAGAATGAATTTTTATGAGTTGTTATTAAATTTTAAATAGATTTTTTCTACGGCTTAGGGTTATAAGATTATAGTCTAAAAAACCTTAGTTGAATTTGTCGGTGTACACTCACCAGATCATATTTAACTGGGTTAACAAGCCACATCTTTCTTTTATTTTCTTCATTCTTTTCATATATATATATATATATATTTATTTGTTTATTTTCGTGGTGGAAACAACTATATTGCTTGTTCTTTTGTTACAGGATTTTGGTTCCCTAGAAATTGCGATGTGTTCTGTAGGTGTCCTTCTGTGGAAGTGTTCTTTTAAGAGGTAAAAAAGATCTTGCACTTTTTATTGAGAGAAAGCAATGATTTTGTTATCTCATGGATATTTTATTAGTTATTTTGTATATAATTTAATTAGAAAAAAAAAACAAACATAAGTAAAAATAAAAAAACAAAACTCATGATTAGTAAAAAAATTATAAGAATATCTTCATGTAGAATCTCTTTTCTGCTTGTGTTTATATAAGCTATTTTTTAAATTATTTTATATAATTAAAAAAATATTTTATTATTTATTATTTAATTAATTAAAAATTAAATTTCATAATTTTTCTAGATAAAGTACTATAAATCTAATAATCCAGGCTATAAATTCAAAAAATTAACATGTTTTTTTAAATATTTTATAATTCTTGTTATTTTTTATTAAATTATTTTAATTTTATTATCTGAGGTATATATTTAACTTGATAAGAGGATTTGTTTGTTTTTGCCTTCCAACCTTAGAAAATATTTGTTTTCTAATGTTTTCTGAATCATGTCTTTTTAAACTTGATTCATTTATTATCATTTTGTGTACTATTTGTTGGTGCACCAAAGTTAATGAATATAAATCTTGTTCATTTGCTTCGACAGCTGTTCTCTGACAAATATTGTCGCGACAAACATTATCTCAACAAGAGGATCATGTAATAATGTCTTGTGACACGTGGTAAAAAAAAAATTAATGGTTTAAATTTTAAAATATGAAAAAAAAATTATTTTATTTAAACACCTTGAATTTGGTATAAGTACTAGCTAAAAATAATATATATATATATATCTGTGTGCCTGTGTGAGACAGATGTTTTCGAAGTGAGATATGCATTGAGAAGTCCTAGCCCAGGAAAAAAGGTTGGATAATAATATCTTGTAACACGTGGTAAAAAAAACATTAATGGTTTAAATTTTAAAATATATAAAAAAAATATTATTTTATTTAAATACCTTGAATTTGGTATAAGTAATAGCTAAAAATAATATATATATATATATAATATCAGGATTTTGGTTCCCTAGAAATTGCGATGTGTTCTGTAGGTGTCCTTCTGTGGAAGTGTTCTTTTAAGAGGTAAAAAAGATCTTGCACTTTTTATTGAGAGAAAGCAATGATTTTGTTATCTCATGGATATTTTATTAGTTATTTTGTATATAATTTAATTAGAAAAAAAAAACAAACATAAGTAAAAATAAAAAAACAAAACTCATGATTAGTAAAAAAATTATAAGAATATCTTCATGTAGAATCTCTTTTCTGCTTGTGTTTGTATATATTTTTATATCATTAGTTATTTTATGAACACCATGAAACTTCTTAGTTCTTAATGATGATATTAATATTTTAATAACATAAATTACTTATTAGTAAATTATGTTTTTTTTATTTTGCATATATATATACACACACACACATATATATTTATATATTCCATAAGGCTTTGTAGATTAAAAAAAAATTCTTTTGTTTCGTATACCTCTCTCAAAACCCCGAGAACCTGTTTGATATTATGATAATGGTTTGTTTTTTAAAGTATTTTTTGTTTGGAAACACATCAAAATAATATTTTTTTATTTTAAAATTTATTTTTGACATCAACACATCAAATGATATTGAAAAAATGTTTCATCACTTAAGCCTCATTTGTTTACTGGAAAGTAATTTTCTTTTAAAAAGTGAATTTTGTGAAAATTAATTCCAGGAAAATGAATTATATTCTAATATTTGGTATTGTAATGGAAAATAAATTGGAAATATTTTTCAATATTTGGTTATATCATGAAAAATGAGTCGAAAAATAATTTATTAATGTTTTATTTTTTTCAAGTTTATTAAAAAAACGAGTGCCAAATCTTATAGATAAAAAAGTTGAAAGGGGATGAAATTAAAAACAATTATTTTATAAATTATTTTAAATAAAATAAATAATAATCAAAATAATAAAATCAAATCCAATAAATAATAAAATAATAAAATTAAAATAAAATACAAATTCATAAATTATTTCAGAGAAAATAAATAGCAGAAAAAAAAAAAAGATGAAAGATGAAGAAATTAAAATAATAATATTAACATTTCATAAATTATTTCAAATAAATTAAGTAACAATCAAAAGAACGATGATCAAATTTGATAGATAAAATTTTTTAATAAAAAAATAATAAGAAAAAAGCAAATAATAATTATAAACATAAAGATCAAAGTTAATATAAAAATTAAATTTTAAGAAATGAAATTGAATAATAAATATTCAAAATAATATATATATATATATAAATAAAAAATTTGAGAATTAAATTTGATATAATTAACAAATAATATGACATTTCTATTTTTTTTTTCACAACTTCTATAAAGTATTTTTTGCCCAAATTTCTGAGGAAAACACTTTGCTATAAACTAAGCCAATTTTTTTTTTTGTTTGGAAAGTGTTTTACATTGGCCCAAATTTCTCAGGAAAACACTTTGCTATAAACTAAGCCAATTTTTTTTTTTGTTTGGAAAGTGTTTTACATTGATCAATTTTTCTAATGACAAACAAACACATGAGAATTTGAAAAATAATTTTCTATAAACCACTTTTCGAGAAACAAACACAACCTTAGTTAATGCTTGTCTTAATAAAATAAAATTCAATTTTATGAATTTAAAAGAATTAGAGCTTCAGACATAAAATTTGAAGGTTAAACAAATGATTGATTTCTTTTTGCTAATATTGAGGGTTGATTCGCATAGGTAAGGGAAGAGTTCATGTCTTTTTTTTATCACTTAATTTTTTTATTTAATTTGGTCCTTTCATATTGTCTTTATTTAGAATTTCAATTAATAGTTTATTTTTGTTGCTTACATATAAAGATTTTGCAATATTGACAAAAAATTCTAGTGCTTGGTTGATGCCTAATTTGAAAAAATAAAATAAAATTTTATTAATGTAAATCAATTAAGCTTAAAGGATCAAAATTTAAATTAAAACAAATATAGTGGGCTAAAGTCAATGGGCTGAGCAACTTAACAAGCTAGTGCGTCACAGGTGCTAGCATGGAAAGGAAGTCGTTGGGTTCTCAAGCTGCATGCAGCTTCCCCTAATGGCGAAACATTGACTTCTTTATTGATGTTGAGAGCAACGCAAGAAGAGCTTTTCAAGTAAGGTGAAGTACCACTGGGTTCTCAAGCTGTATGTAGCTTCCCCTAATGGCGAAACATTGATTTCTTTATTGATGTTGAGAGCAACACAAGAAGAGCTTTTCAAGTAAGGTGAAGTATATAAATGGAGGAGTGACGATAAGGATATGAAGATATTTTTTTTCTTTCTCTCTCTCTCTTTTCTCAAGATTCGTGCTAATCTAACCAAACCTGAAAGGCGTCTAGCCATTTTATTTTTAAGTTAAATATTTAAGCCTTACTAGTTTGATTGTTATTTTTTTTTAATTTTATTATTTGATACTTGGTTGGTTGAGAATTGAGTTAGATGTTTTTTTGATAGAGTGATCTTGATCCCATAACTTGTGTTATGAGTTTGAAATGTCAACCGGGGTTGACATAAGTTTTTCCTTTAGATATTTTTTTACATTGATTTTTCTTTTGAATTTCATCTTTCATTATTATATTTATTAGAAATTGAGCTTCATCATATTTTTAATTTTTTTTTCTATCGGATTATCTCGATCTTAAAACATAGGTAATGCTTTTGACAAGTTAACTTAGGTTGATACGTGTCTTTTCTTGGGTTATTTTTTTAGATTAAATATTTTTTTTAGGTTTTGTCCTTCAACATTTAGTTAATTTGAGAATTGAGTTTCAAAATTTTTTATATTTTGCCTTATACTATGTTATCCCATTTATATTATCTAGCTCGTAAGGTTTAATGAATTTACTAATGTTTTATTTTTTTTATTTGATGAATTTACTTGAATTTACTAATGTTTTATTTTTTTTATTTTTATTTGTATTGTTGAGAATGAAACATTGTAATTTTTTCATTTGCTTTTTATATGATTATTCCAGTCTTGGGATTAATGTTGTAAGTTTAACATGCTAACTCAGGTTAATTTAGATTACTTTTTTTTTTATTTAATTTTATCATTTAACATTAAATTGTTTTAAAACTAAATTTTATAATTTTTATTTTCTTTTTACAAATATTTTTTATATGCAAGTCATCATAACCATCTCTTTTTTTATAATTTAATTCACTTTTTTTTTCATATAATTAAATAAAATCAACTTAAAATCTATAACCACACCTATCTAAATGCAAAGCAGATCACCATAAAGAGAATTGCTCATTCAAGACTCAAATCTAGAATTATTACTTATTATAATTATTTTTTAAAATATTTTTTACTTAAAAATATATCAAAATAATATTTTTTTTAAAAATTATTTTTAACATTAAAACAATCTACAAACATAAAAAAATTAATTTAAATTTCTTTTTTTTAAGAAACACAATCTAACTATAAAAAATTAATAAAAATTATTTTCAAACATGTTCTTAGTTTAAAAAAATTAATTCTAAACAAGATCTTAGTTAGAAGGGAACTTGCCAAATCCGAAACGAAGAGGAAAAATTCTTGAAAATCGAGAACAAAGAGCAAGATTTGGAACTTATTATTTTCTTCTTGGTTGCTTCACAGAACTACGTTGAAACAAGATGAACGACACCCGGATGTTGCACATGCAGATTTCTTAGAAAGGCAAAATGCATCATAATTTTATCAAAACGAAAAAGCTTGAATAAATATGCGTTACATGCAATGAAACAAGAACACATGTATTGTCTCATCATAAATAAAAAGCACCATCTTTTACTAAAAGTAATATAATAATGTTCATTGCTTCCTCTTCTGTGTGCCAATGGAAAGATTCTCAAAGCTTCGAAGATGGCCATCACGAGTGCCTTTTGTAGGGGTTCCATGAGAAACTGATGCCATTTTGGACTCAACTCCAGAACGGTTTTTTTGGGTGGTAGGCAGGCGATTAGTATTCGAGAACAGCCAACTTGATCTACTCTCACTAGCTGAAACAGTAGTGCCTCTTCTGCTGCTTGAAGCAACAGCCTTTCTTGACATACTTCCATTGTGAGAGAAGGAAGCGCGGCCTCTATCCAAATCAGATCGCTGGAGAAGATGAAAACATATTTATAGCAGAATTTAACATCACCTACCAGGAATTCTAGAGTTTTTGTATCTACCTCCTCAAAGTGGTAATGTTACACGTTAGGGAAAGGTATTAAGTGTAGCATTTTCTGGATGCCATTACTTACCACTTCCTTCGATGGTGAAACATTCTCCAATGGCCTGTGCTTCGAGCGATCGACATTAACATTGGAAACACTTCTTCTGCCCAGCACTTCAACCACACCCAAATATCTATCATGCATCTCTTTTCCCACTAGTTAAAACAAGTAAATAGAAACAAAGAAGTCACTTCATTTTCTGAAAAAAGGAAGTTGAAAAGGTCTCATTTAAGGAACAAAGCCTCAATGGTAATCAGTAATCACTATAAATTTTAATCTAGCTAATACTCGCAAGTTTATCATGTAATTAAGAAATCATGTTTTTATTTTCAACACAGCCATGCACATAAGTTTTTTTATAAACAAAACTTGCTTAATAGCCCTCTCTATCTATACCTTCCTAATTCGAGAAGGAACACACCTGGAGCCTTTTCTGTTTTTTCAGTAGATGGTCGAAGTTTTGAACCTGCCTTTGCACTAGGCTGCCGAAACATACAAAATATATTATAAATATCAAACAAAGAAAAAGTCTACAATATAAAAGTGACGAAAGTGACGATATATTATAAATATCAAACAAAGAAAAAGTCTACAATATAAAAGTGACGAACATTAACCTTTTGTCTAGAATTGGAGCCAATTTGAGGATACTTCAATATTGTCCAATCATATATATAATCAAACTGATAGCCTGCATAAATAATCCATGTCAGGATTTGCATTGCTCAGGAACCAGGCAAGGCCGAACTACTTTTATAGCCTGCACAAAATCTGTTATTCTAATGATGCAGACCACTGGAGTCACACTCTCGAATGCAAGGGGTAGCAGTCATTACCAACAGGAAGAGACCAGAAAAGATAGGAAATGACTTGTCAATCAAAGCATTCCTTGCCCATGTTATATTAAGGGAAGATAAACTAAATTAATAAACACAATCTCCATGTTTTACCTTCTCTAAGAAATAAGTCACGAAAAAGCCTCTTCAAATATGAATAATCCGGTTTGTCTTCAAATCGTAATGATCGACAATAATGAAAGTATGATATGAACTCTGATGGATATGATTTGCAAAGAACCTGTCAAAAGAGTATTGGAACTTTAAGCAATTCTGTCTTTTTTATTTTTATTTTTAATTTTGCAACAAGATAAACATTGACAAGAGAAGAGAAGAGAAAAGAAAAGAAAGCTGGGTTTAAGAGATCAATTAACACATTCTTCCATATTAAAATAAAACAAATATAACATGAAATGGTATGCTTTAGTAGAAGAAGGTGTCATATTGAAACGTAGTATTACCTCTATAGGAGTTAAGGTCTTCTTTTCACTGATTTTATCATACTTCTGCTTTTTTGTCCCTGCTTTCAGACCCTGCCACGGAAGGCTGATGCCAACAGTCATGAAACTTAGAATATGATGCAAATCAACAACTTGTATTTGATCCTATGAAAGACTCTAAAAGAAAAAATTAAATAGGACTAACATAACATTTATTATATGTTCAACCTTCCCCTGAGGAAATACATAAGCACATAACCGAGAGATTCCAAATCATCTCTTCTACTTTGTTCTGTTAACCAAGCAACACAATAATTAGATGAATAAATTAATCTAAAACTCTGCCAAGTAATGTAATCAACAATTGATATAAGACTTTACTTACCAACTCCAAGGTGAGTGTTAACACTAGCATATCGAGCTGTGCCGGTAAGATTTTTATTTTCCCTGAGAAGATACAACAAATTCACAATTATATAAGCAATATATTACTAGTCTAGTAATAATGCCCAATGGTGGTTTGCATGGGAATGAAAACCAGTAATTTGGCAAATCATTTCAATATTGAAAAAAAGAAAATGAAAACCCTAATGATTTCTGTTTGTCATTGAATTGATGTGTTGTATCAATTAAAGAGAGAATTTGTTAGTAAAATTAAATATAAGAAAAATAAATCCCAGTACAACTAATTTTGAGCAGAGTTTGATAGAGATGCTAACATCCAACCCAATCAGTTTATCTGAATGCTCACCAAAATTTCCACTTAAGCACTTTCCAGATGAGTAACCGGCCTATCCCTCTACCTTTCGAATTGTATGTTGTATGCACAAATTCAATAAATAGATAAATAAGATGGATTTTTTTTTTTTTTGGGTGGGGGGTGGGGGGGGATACACTACACAATACAATAGATACTCAAGGAATGACTATAAATAGTTACTCTATAGGAGAAAGAGTGATTAATAAGAGAGATTTAAAAATATTATTTTTTTGCCCAAGTGAAAATATTCTTTAATACTTTTGGTCTTTTAGTAGGCTCGTATGTTCCTTTTGCTTTCATCTTTGTATTTGTTTCTCTCCTCAAGATAGACCCATGGAGTAACTATTGATTACTTTTGGAGTACTATAAAATTTCTCTACAAAACAGAGGGAACACAATGTAAAGGAAAAATACCCAATGTAAAGGAAAAGCATGGTAACTGGAAGTACCTGTATGGTATGTGCTTATGAGTTTGAGAATCCCTATACTTCTTTGCAAGGCCATAATCAATAATATAAACCTGGCATAATTACTAACAATGAAATAACACCAACTGCAGAAATAAGTAAAGAAGATGTTCTCACTCTCAATAAAATCAGGACTTTCACTAGGGAACCAAATTCCAATTGGACTTCATAATTCTCTTCAGAAAATAAAGACAAATCAATTTGAGAAATACCAAATGTCTAAGGGTGTTTAATTATATTTTAACAATCTCATCAACTAATTTATATTTATTTTAATAGTAGCACCATATTATTATGGCTTCACTATGCCCAACAGTAAGTGAAAATATTAATCATTTAGTTAGGATATTCATAATAGATATCTCTCAATTACAACTACAATTTTTTTTGTTATTTTACTGTTATATCTAATATACTAAGCATGCAAATGCATCACAATAATGAAGTTTTTTTAAAAAAAAAAGGAAAAAAAAAATCTTGGAAAATTGCAAAGAGGTAAATTCCATAGCTGACAACATCCCACTAAGATATTTAAATTGCAAAACTATGGTTTAAATAAGACTCTCTAATGTTTTTAACTGAACCACGATCCACTCCAAAATTTTAAAATTTGAAATTGCAACTGAAGATAAAGTTAAACATGCACTGCAGCATATTAATATACCTGATTGGCTTTACGTCCCAAACCCATAAGAAAGTTATCAGGCTTTATGTCACGGTGAAGAAAGCCCCTTGAGTGCATATATTCAACCCTGTTAATCTAAAATAAACAACTAAGAAAATTAATGATCTAATCAAAGAGGAAGCTCATTGAGCCAAGGGAAATAACTTCTTCCAAGAGAAGTAGACACATACCAATTGATCTGCAAGCATCAACACTGTTTTCAAAGAAAGCTTCCGATTGCAGTAGTTGAATAAGTCTTCAAGACTTGGCCCAAGAAGGTCAATAACCATGATGCTGTAGTCACCGTCAACACCAAACCACTTGAGTTGAGGAATTCCCACTGCATAAAAAATAAATGAGATAATCATTCAATTATAGTGCAAAAATCACATCTTTCACTTTATTATAGCTTATTGTACCACATTAAGAATAACAAGAAGGACAGACAGTGAGGACTTACTTCCTCCTTGAAGAAGCATGTAAATTTTAGACTCATAGTGAAGCTGAGGGTGCTTGCTCCTTACAGGTTCCTTAAAATTAACAGGAAAAAGGAAATATATGTTGAGAGCTTGAAAAAGAAAAATTTGTTCTTAGATAAAACTCAAGATAAATCAATAGATGCATCTCAATTTGTTTTCTTGATATTCAATTACATACGCTTCATCAATACAATTACGTGACTTAATTTGTCCTTTAAAAAACAATGCCTTCTTGATGACGGTAAAGAGGAATCTTATGAAGTTTAGGACTGGCTGAAATTCTTTACCGAATTAATGCATGTCAAAGTTCAAAAGTTTGTTCATGCCATAGCAAGAACTTATGCAGCTACATCACCTTCCATGCAAGAATTCTTGCGTTTGTATGCATTTTTTCCTTTTACATAATTCTTGCATTCAAGTACTAATGGCACAACCAAAATAAACTCAAATCAAACAGAACCAAGCATACTCTTTCAGAAAAAGAAAAAGGAAAAAAAAATCCAATTCAAGGCACATTGCACATCTCATGGTCATTCAAAAGGCATTGATCAGAGAGAATCATCAGTCCTAAATTTCTTACATTGCATACCCCTCTTTAGCAGTCAATGCCCAATACATTAAATTCCAATAAAGAAGATGAAAATAAGGTAAAATTTCAAACAAAAAATGAACGTTATTCAAATACCAGCTTTATGCCAACTTCCTCTCCATTCTGCACATCAATCCCTGTACAAATTAAAGCCATAAGCGATATTCTTTAGTTTCTTTCAAAACAAAATTGCAATTACATAATATTATAATGAGAAGAAGAAGAAGAATAACAAGAACTGACCAAGAAAAATCTCCCCAAAAGATCCTCCACCGATCTTTCTACCCAGTTTGAATTTCCCCCCAACAATATGATCCATAATTTATAAAACCAATTGAAATGCTCTACAAGCCAAAATCTTTCTGAATGCCAAAACTTTGGAAAACAATCAATAAAAGAAATCCAAAAGAAAAGAAGAAATATTTAGCATGTATCAATCAATGTAGAACAATTTACCCAAGAAAGAAGAAGAAAGAAACATATATAAGCATCAATGTCTAAGATCATGAAATCAAAAACATTTGATAGGAAAGAAAAGCTAGCATGCTTCGAATTTAAAGGGAAAAAAAACAATGGGCAAAACTCATAGGTGAAAAAGAGATTGAGAGCTCTGTAGAGTAGAGTTTTGTTTTTGGACAATCACCATAAAAAATCCCTTTTCATGATGATGACAAAAAAATTAAGAAACTATCTCTCTCCTTTTATTTTCTGTCAATTCATGGCTAAAAGATTTCTACAAAAAAAAAAAAAAGAATAAAAAATTCATGGTTAAGAGAAGGAGGCAGGCTAAAAACACTCGTAACAGCTCCTGACGCGTGTCTATATTTTTTCTATTGAAAAAAAAGGGTCTTTTTCCATATGTCATATCACAACAGGGACTAGAGTGTAAGTTTCAAAATTTTCTTTTTTGCTGCTACAGATGGAAGCGCCTTCTATTTCTCAAAACAAGTGAAGCGTAAGAAATAGAAGGAATCATCTCTGCTCCAGTTACAGGTACTGTTATTTCCACCCGCAAAGTTCAGTTTTTTTTTTTTTTTTTCATGTGGGTTCCTTTTGTTTCACATGAAAGCTCAAAACTTGGAAGAGGCCTAAGATTTTAATAAAGATTTGAAGTAGATATCTATGATCACCATGGACTATGAAAGTTGTTTTATTTTATGGAATCCTTAGATGGTATCTTATTCCATTGTCACAGTTGCTTTAAAATGATATTGATTTGTTATTGATGAGAGACATTTGATAATTTTAGTATACAATTATTGATTCCAAGGGCAAAATGCTAGTAATTTGAAGGGTTGAGATTGAGTTAACGGGTCAGGGAAGAGAGGATTAGGGTTTCCTTGTTTTTGGTACAAATAGGGGTTTTGACTTTAGTTTTGGGTGGGAGCTCTCTGGTTTTAAAAATATTGGGGATTCGTTTTCCGTGAGGGCTTCCTGGTGGTTCTCTTGGTGGAAAAGATTGCAATTCAAAGGCCTGGTTTTTATCTTTTTGTTTAGAGTGGGGAGCTGCCATTGTGAGTTGAGAAATGGGTGAAATAAATAAAGAGAAAGGCAAGGAGTCTCTACCCTATAGGGGTTGTTTGTCTTGAGTTTTCTCCTTGAAGTTATAATTCCTACCCTGCTTTGCTTAGTTCTTGAGCTTGCATGTCATGTACTTTGATATAAAAGTTTAGTGGTATATTCATGTTTTGCTGGGTCTGGCTCTGTGGATTTGGATTGATTGGAATGCTCATAATACCTGCTGAGCCCTGTATGGAGGTTGAAACCAAGTTTTGATTCTTGCATAATCAATGGGTGATAAGCACCTTTTTTTTAGAGGCATGGGTTTGCTAGTCCCCTGTAAATCTGCAGGGAACTACTGACTAAGGTCTGCGATATTTTCTTTCTTTCTTTCTTTCTTTCTTTTTTTTGGAAACTAAAGTTTTTTGCTGGAATGCTTGGCTGTCATGTTAATCATCAAAGAAGTCTAGCTTTAGGATTTTGCCCATGCATGTTTGTTTGAAGCTCTGGGAGGGACTAAGTTCTGAATGTCATGATCACTTTGCTAAGCCCCTAAAACCAGGTTTATATCCTCAGTCAATTTCCTCCACATGTCTAGGTAGTTGTATAAATAGAGAAGTCTTTTTTTTCTTGAACATGAAGCTGTTTTACTGTTATTGGGCTTTTGACTAATTTTTTTCCCTATTTTCGAAACAGTTGTCTTCAATTTTCTCTCTTTGGTTTTTCTTTTAATTTCCTTGTTGTACCGTGACCTAGCGACTTCAGTTCACAAAATGTATATCAATATACCCATCTATTTGTAATTGCCATTCTGCTACTCTATGGCAGTTTCCTGTCAACTCAGCAGAGATGAGAGAAGAATCTATGATTTTGAAAGGAAACAGTTTGAGTCTTTTGAATGAATTTGAGCTCATTCTGGAATCTGATCCTCTCATGTAAGAATTTTACAAATGCATGTCCATAAACGTTTGATTATTTCTTGCCTTTTCACACTATGAATTTGCATTTTTACATTGTTGATATTCTTGAATATAGTGATGAAGTAGGATTTATTCACCCATCCCAATTTGTCACATTAAATAAAGAAGCAAGCAGCTCCTTGGAACATGAAGATGCAAATTTTTGGAGCAGGGATCATAAGCTTGCAATTTCGACAGATGTTCTCCTTCCTTTGTATAAGGCGGTCAAAGATGTGTTTATGCATGCAATTAGCCAATATAAGAGCCATGAGAATCTATCTGATGCATCTTGGGATGAGGGTAATCTTGAAAGTGAGGTCATGAAGCACAGCAAGGCGCTTTTATTGTTAAGCTGTGACTTTGGGACTGCATGGAATTTCAGGTATTTCCAGCGTTCTGCTCAAATTTATATCGATATGTTTGTGTGTGCATCTGTTTCTCCATTCATTTAATTATTTTCAGTCTTGCATATTCTTACCATGAACCCATGACCATGATGTTTGTTTCTCGTATTTGTCATGCAGGAAGTTAATTGTGTCAAAGAAGCAGCACATGTTGATATTCTTGGATGAACTTTTCTTGTCGGCCCTAGTCCTTTCATGCTCTCCCAAAAGTGAAAAGGCATGGTGCCACAGGTAACATATATAAGCCATCTTTTTCGTTTTTAATATGATGATACCATTTATTTTGTGTGTTTGATTTTCCACCAAGCTCTATATGTAATTCAACAGTTATCAACTGTTTCACTGTAACGTGTATTTAGGCATACTTCTTTTCAAGCATAAAACCCAACTCTTATGGATGTATAAATAAATTGGCAGGCGGTGGGTGATCAAGATGCTTGCTGGAAAATGTTCAACCATGCAAGTTATTGTAGGGAAAGAATCTGAGCTAGTGGAGAAAATAGCTGAGGTTTAAATTCAGTTCAGGATGTTGATATTATTAATAGATGAAGGTTTATATGATATTTAATAGTAGAATCTATTATATTCTTTTCAGTTGCATTTTAGTTTGTTTCTTCTAACCCTTCCCAGAGACATCAGAAATAATCTTCCTTTAACGGCTCTTGATTGAGCTTCCTATAAAATTGTGGTCAAACTAATGATTTTTGGCACGTAACAGTTGATGAGACATCCCATAAACTATGTGATGAGGAATGCACCAGTGAGGTGTGGTCTTAATATGATTTCCTGCCCACTTGTTTTGCAGAGATCAAAAATGAATTATCGTGCATGGAATCATCGTTGCTGGTTAGTTTCATACATGACAACAGAACAGGTCACTAAGCGTTCGCTTTGTATCAATGCTTTAGAATGTAGCTGTAGCAAAACATTTTCGGGCCAACCTTGCCCCCTTAAATGTGCATTGTAATACTGTATGCTAGTCTTAATAGCTTAAATTATCACTAGAGTAAGCTATGTTGGCTCTTTTTCCTGGTTTTGAGTGGTTTCCTGCTGAGTTGTTTTTTTAAAATTTGTAAACTATAAATTTTTAGTTGTTGTATGTGGTTTTTTTGAATTTATACGAATCCATTTGCCTGCAGGTGCTGCATGAGTTGAAGAAATCCAGAAACTGGGCTGGATTACATGTTGCTGATAATTCTTGCTTTCATTATCGCACTGTGAGATATCATATCTCTTTTAATGAAATCCAATGCCTATTTTAAAAAAAAACAATGTAGAAATTTATTGATGAGTTTTCATTAAATGCAGCGGCTGATGCTCAGGATCAGGGAGGATCACTGCCATAAACTAGAAGATGGAACATCTGATGGAAATGATGAAATTTATCGAATCTGGCAGGTATAACGTTTCGGCACACTGTTCATCAATCACTGCTCATTTTATGAAGGCTTGTCTGCTCTGTTTTTGTGTTTCTTGATATGTAGCTAATTCTTGGTACCTTTCCAAGTACATCAGCTCATCGGTAACTCTTCTGAGTTTTATGAATATGGGAATGGGAATATTATGACCTTTTCTTTTTATGTTAGATTACATTTGCCTCAAATAAACCTAGTGCTTTCCTTTGATTTTCTTGGTGATTTGACTGCATTGTTGTAATCTTACTCAAAATAATGGGTCAAGATGTTGGAGACAAGCTCTCTTTCTTTTGTTGGACATGTGATAAGAAGATGGTGCCATGGAGATCAAGGAAACAAAACCCCAACTATCAGGATTAGCTTTCTAACGTGGGGAAGGCTAAGATTTCTTGTATTTTTGATGATTAGCTTCTGTTAGTGGATAAGCATTAGGCTTTGTTAAGAGAGTTAATTAGTTTTCTGTTAGTGTGTTGCATGGATAAGCATTAGGCTTTGTAGGTCCTTTAATTTCGGTATTGAAGTCACAAAATGGGTTTGTATATAACTCATGCATGAGAATAAAGAGAAAAGGCATTATTAGCCCGTCATATCTGTGGTTTGTTCTCACCCTGAGAGAATAATCTTTTCTATTAAAATTCCATAGCTTTGATTGGGACCTATCAACATGCAGATAACAAAATAACGTTATTGAAGCAAAATCCTTCTTTTGAGGAAAATCCTAGTGCAAACAATTCATAAAATGTTTTTGTTCCACTTTTAACTGGGTTTTATTTGATATTTTGATTGTTATACTGTGGGTATATGACAGGAGGAGCTTGATTGGAATGAAGCATTGATTAAGTGTTATGTAGGAAGAGAGGTACATCTAACAAAACGTTGCCCCACAGGTTTAAGAAATTCATTATTGATTCACTTGTCGTAGATGTTTTATCTTTTCATTTTCCCCTGCAGTAAAACGAAGATATCCAATTTCTGCAAATTGCTTAATGGTTCCTCAACACCTGTGGCCAACTTCCTGCCACACTTCACTTTGTATCTTCTCATACTTAATTTTATCTTTTTCAGGCTTTGTGGCTTCATCGTCGTTTCCTCTCCTTGTCTTGGATAAGGCATTTCACAACTAATGTTGGTGATACATCTAACTACCGTGTATGTAAATCCAGCATAAATGCTGACATTGGTGTCTTTATGGATAATGAGTTGCATCTCGCAAATTCCTGCTCAACAATACCTGATAATGAGTTTGAGGATTTTCAAGCACAGGCAATATATTCCGCAACTTACATATTATGGCTGACAAAGGTAGTAAGTAGTGTGTGTCTTCACTTTCACATTTTGCAACTGTTTAAATGGCCTTTCTCAAATTGGTTGAGTTCTAACACAAATTTGTTCTTTCACCAGCAAATCTCCGATTCCCAGGGAATTGAGCTCCAAGAAAAGCCAAATCTTGGAAGCCTGAGGACCATGCTGAATACGGCGTGTCCTGAAAGATCGTCTCTTTGGGACATCTCAACAAGGATATCTGGGAAGTGTGACGAGGGCTTGAAGGAGAATAGGTATCAACGTAGATAGATAAATCTGTTATACAGTGTTAGGACCATATTCTTTCTACGTTGCCCAGATGGTAACTGTTGCCTGCTCAAGTGGGGACTTGAATCCAGAGTTCTAATCCTTTTTGCTTCACGAGTCTATTGGCGTGAAGCATGTGAATCCTCAAGTCTTGAACTGTAGACTGTTCTGTCTTCTCGACCTAGCAACTCCAGGGAAAAACTGAATTATTGCAGGCCGGCACGCTATATAGAATGCGGGAGTGCAAAACCCAGCCAGATTGCCAACTATTGCCTTCCATATGTGATCATAACTACGGCAAATCCTGCTATGCCTTCTCCTAAACGGGAAGCCATTCCAAACGCAATGCCTTTTTTCCGAGTTCTGTGTCTTTGTGAGAGTTTTTCATTGGATTTTGGAAACCACGTAAAGCCATTACCAAACTAACATCCAAACTCAATGACTGGGACATTGCATGTGTGGTGTATTCGTCTCTCTTTTTCCTTCAAAATCAGCGTTGGACTCGTGTTTATCTTATATATATATATATATATATATATATAAAAACTAAAGTCATTTGAAAAGAAAAATTGTTTTGCTTTTGAACAAAACAGTATTCTTGATTTTAGACAAAACCACAACCACCTGCCTGGCATGTGATTCATTTTTTTAATTAAAATAATAACTTTTTTCATTTTTTTAAAATTACACATCAAGACGTCTAAAGAGATGAGAATACGTAATGATTGTTTTTCAAAACAAAAATTATTTGAAAATATATTAAAGATTTTTATTATAAATTTGAAATCTTGCTTGACGTAACGGATTGATTTGTTGATGTTGGAATTAGATTATATTTAAAAAAAAAAAGAAATTATATTAAAAAAAAAATCAGAATAACTTAATTAACTTGATAATATTTGGTTAAAAATCAAATTATAATTTATTAATTTTTATTTTTTATTAAAAAAATATTATTTTAATTTAAAAAAATTAACTAGAATGACTTGATGACCCGTTTCAAGCTCGAAAGCTGAATCTTAGATTTAACTGGATTTAAAAACTATAATTTTTATTCATATTTTAAATTAATATAATTTTTATTCACATTTTAAATTAATAAAAAATTTTAATTTTTAAAAAACATGCAAAATATAACTATAATAACTCAAGTAACATGTAACTTTTTTTTTTCTTTTTTTAATACCATAAACAAAAACAAACATCTGTATCCTGTGGGGCTCTGGGACATCTACAACCAATCATCCTGACCTTGCACCCATGCTGTCCCTTATCCATAACGTACGCACTGTAATCCCATCGACAAACTACATCCTTAAAATTTCTGTGCAAGACTCAGATGTCCGAAACACATTCACAAACAATCGCCAAAATTTCAAGTTTCTCTCTTTTTCCTTGTAAATTTACAGGTACTCTCTATACTTCTCGGCCTCGCTTTTGCAAAATGATAATTCATGAACATTGAACGAAACCATTGTCATGACAACATTTTCCACTGAGCTTATCTCTCACAATTATAGCTTTCCCTTCACTAGCAAACATCTAAAACCTTATTTACTTTCACTTCAAAGCAATGTAGTTAGCTGCATAAACCCTAACCATAATGCCACTATCCGCCACCTAGGAAACCAACCAAAAGTAAGGAGTGTTTTACCTGAAACAAGACCAGCCCTTGCTTTATCTTATGATTTCGAAGAAACCCATTTGATGAGATTGCTTAATAGGTCTTGTAAAGCAGGCAAGTACAGTGAGTCCCTCTACTTTCTTGAGTGTATGGTTGCTAAAGATTATCAACCTGATGTTATTTTGTGTACTAAGCTCATTAAAGGGTTTTTTAATTCAAGAAATATAGACAAGGCTACTAGGGTGATGGGCATTTTGGAGAAGCATGGTAAACCTGATGTTTTTGCTTATAATGCAGTGATTAGTGGGTTTTGTAAGGCTAATCGGATTGAAAGTGCAAAAAAAGTGCTTGATAGGATGAAAAGAAAGGGATTTTTGCCGGATGTTGTAACTCATAATATAATGATTGGGACTTTTTGTAGTAAGGGAAAGATTGATTTGGCTTTAAAAGTTTTTGAAGAATTGTTGAAAGATAACAATTGTAAGCCAACTCTTATTACCTACACGATTTTGATAGAGGCGTACATTCTTGAAGGTGGAATTGATGAAGCTTTGAAGCTTTTGGATGAGATGTTATCAAGAGGGCTTGAACCAGATACATTTACTTACAATGTAATAACTAGGGGGCTGTGCAAAGAGGGGAAGGTTGATCGAGCTTTTGAGTTTGTTAGGACCTTGAATTCTAGGGGTTGTAAACCAGATGTGATTACATATAATATATTGTTACGAGCATTGTTGAATCAAGGGAAATGGGATGAGGGGGAGAAATGGATGAGTGAGATATTTTCAAGAGGTTGTGAGCCTAATGTTGTTACATATAGCATATTGATTAGCTCGCTGTGTCGTGATGGTAAAATTGATGAATCAGTGAACTTGGTGAAGGTTATGAAGGAGAAGGGTTTGACTCCGGATGCTTATTGCTATGATCCATTGATTGCTGCTTTCTGTAGAGAGGGAAAATTGGCTATGGCAATTGAGTTCTTGGATTGCATGATCTCTGATGGTTTTTTGCCAGATATAGTCAACTACAATACAATAATGGCCGCTCTTTGTAAGAATGGAAATAGTGATCATGCTGTGGAAATATTTGGAAAGCTAGATGAAGTGGGTTGTCCTCCAAATGTCAGTTCTTATAACACAATGTTAAGTGCATTGTGGAGTTCTGGAGACAGATATAGAGCCTTGGGAATGATATCACAGATGCTTAGCAAAGGAATTGATCCAGATGGAATTACTTATAATTCACTTATTTCATGTTTGTGCAGAGATGGAATGGTGGATGAAGCTATTGAGCTGTTGGCAGACATGCTAAGTGGAAGGTTCCAGCCAAATATAGTCAGCTATAAAATTGTTCTTCTTGGGTTGTGCAAAGCACATAGAATTGATGATGCTATCGAAGTGCTAGCAGCAATGATTGAAAATGGTTGCCAGCCAAATGAAACTACTTACACGTTGTTGATTGAAGGTATTGGTTTCTCTGGATCAAGAGCTCAAGCAATGGAGTTGGCTAATTCTCTTTACATTATGAATGCTATTTCTAAAGATTCATTCAAACGTTTGAACAAGACCTTCCCTTTGCTTGATGTTTACAAAGGCTTCATTTATTCAAACTAGTTTCTGTTGTTCTTGGATGGCTAATGACCATATCAGATGTTCTGAAATCTGGACTGTGTCTTCTTTGTATGGCCTTAAACTTACAAGGAACAAAAGGCAATTAGGATTTCTGCAACGAGACACCTGATATGTTGCATATTTTCATGGTATTTTGAGGAAAAGGCATTTGTCACTGGTTTGTTGAGACATAACATTAGAATCCACAGTCGCAGAAGTGACCTGTCAGGTACAACATAAGAGCTTGAGCCTTAAGGTGATCTTCTGTATTCTTTGGACTAACCTGCCACATTCTACCTTTAACGCCAGTAATTTGAAGAGAAGATTCATGTCTTAAAGAAAGAATACAAGAGAGCAATACAATGTAAATTGTAACATGTGTAGATTTCTCTCTCTGTACTTAACAGGGGATCTTTACAGAATGTGCTGGTTACAAGCTTAAGCATTTGTTCTTCGAACCTGTACCTGATTTTTCTTATTATCCTATCAGGAGGAAACTCTATAGGTTCCTAGTCCTTGTTTCTATTTTACCCATTTAAATAACATGTTTTTATACATGACGAGCAATATCTTCTGACCATGTACCTTCACTTTTTTTTTACTTTTTCTTTCTTTCTTTCTTTCCCTCTTTTTTTTTTTTTCTTTTGTTTTTTTGTGAGGGAGGGGTGGGACTAGAACTACATGGATTGATATGATTCTGATGATTAGTGATGGGACTTATTTACAGGCATTTCATTGCCAATAAAGGCTAGTTTGCAACTAATCCAAAGCCTAAATTTCGCGTGCCTTGCTTTCTAATCAAAATGTACTCTCAACAAAAAGCACCGCCATTCAATTGGATTCCTAGAGCAATGACAAACCAGTGGCCTGCAGAATGCTTTAGAGGATTGTCGCTTCTTCTCTGTTGGTTACTCATTTGCCTAACAGAAGACCGGTTACTTGTGGTAAAAGGGAGCAGACAACTGCTTGCATATTGGATATTGATAGTCTTCATTTTATTTTTTCCTTCTCTTTTTTTAAGTATTGGTCAACTGGAAGCTGTTAAATCATTTGTTGAATACAAGCCAAGAAAGACTGTACTTACTGAAGGACGGATGCGATGTCGAAGCAGAAAGCAAATTTTGCTTTGGATGCCTGGATATGTTTTTGAGGATACTGAAGATTTGAGGCTGAACAAAGTTGAAAAGATGGCATCTATTCTAGGAAAACTGTTGTGATCAATCATTATGCTTCAGAGTTGGTGACTGTCACTTCTAGTCTTGCTGAAATTCTATGGTTTTCTTTTGCATTTCCATTTTCAATGTAGTGCTTTAGTGATGTTGTGATTTACAAATGAATTTTGCAACAAGTTTTGATAGTAACAAGAGTACCCTGTTATAGTGAAGCGCATGCCAAGAATTTTGCCGATCCATGTTGTGAGGAATCGATAGCCTTTATTATTTATCAATTTATCATCTATTTTTTTTATACATGCAATCAGAGCGTAGCCAAGATCAACTTGAAATGTTAGGCGCAGTCCTGCAGATGAGAAATTTTATTTTCTGAAGGAATCTAATTTTTTTTTATTTGTTATCGAACCATAACATCACTACGAATTTGTCCCATGCAGTGTAAAATCACGTTGGACTGTTCTGTAATTGATTATCAATTCGATAAGCTAGGGCTGTATATCATATTTAGTTTTGGCTTGTGAAAGATGGTGAAATCCCATTGGCGACTGTCAAATTTGCATCAGATTGCTTAATTGGCAACTGAACACGATGATTCCACACGAGAAGAAAGATTGTTCATGGACATATTATCACATACTAAAATTAAAGGAGGATACCCTTTGTGATTATATCAATCGTCCATATACGAGCATGAAAGACACTCATCGAGTCACATTGGATATTAGCAAAATCACGAAGGTATTGGTTCCCTTTTGTTGATCTGCTTTGTCACCTTTGAACTGTGAGCAGAACTGGTTTTTGTGATGTTGAAATTTCTTTTATGGCACACCAGCTTTTGCAGGCACACCCACGTCAGCAAGCACATAAACATTATACACGTAATGTAAATTGACTACACGCTCACACATTCTGTGCTTGCTTGTCTAACAATTTTGAACCTACAGATGAACCAGGCTGTTGTTAGCATTCAAGGAGTGGATGTGCAGCTCTGTGGAGTCAATTTTCTATACTTTTTGGTACACGTAATTTCTCAAGTTATTTCATCTTATGATCATGTTGTTTCAGCCGTGTTAATTCATCTTATTTTCTTAGTTTTTGGTACACAATTTTCCTTCCTTGAAAGCCTCGTGTTGTACTTCCATAAAAGAAAGAAATAAAGCACAGAAAAAAGAGGACAATTCATCTAAAAATCTTTGTGCGGATGGGCAACTCAAATCGCTTGAGAGCTACATATGTTTCCTATGTGCAATTGAGCTGTTTAAAAATATTAAGAT